GAAATATAGATAATCTTAAGGTCCTCTATCTAGTAAGTATTAGAGTTACTATAGAGCTTATTCTTAATCTAAACTAACTAATTATTAAAGGTAATATTATTTTTAGTTATGCTTTCGAAAATAGAAGAGTTAAGGAATTTAACTAAATATCTACTTTCTAGAATAGGGGAACTAATTATCCCTGCAGGCTATATAACGAACTTCTTAATAATGGCTTTGTTCTTTTATAGGGCTTACTTGATTTCTTTTAGCTAATTATAATAATTCTTGTTATAGGCAAGAATATTATATATTTTCAGAATTAGCTTAATAATCTCTTTATATAGAATCTTTAGGCTTCGGAATAACTCTTGGAAATCCGCCTTTAATAAGGCAGATTTCTCTTCTTCCTTAGCTCTTTAAAAAAGAGTATCTCTTTTATTATAAATATTAACGGGATATTCGGATCTTTTAGGAAATTTAATAAGAGGCTCTGGTTTACCTTCTAGTAATATACTAGTAGTGTCTCGTACTATAGCTTCTTCTAACTTACTTAGTTATTCTGGGACTTGCTTTCTTATAGGTCTTTATTTAGTAATAAGGTTACTAGTCTATTTACTTGCCTGGCCGGTCTAGGGCTTTCTTATCTAGTTATTCTAGGGCTTTCTTTTATTCTAATATTAGTTAACTAGTACGGAAGTAGCTATAGTATATTATATTTATACTTATTAAAAACCGATCGGGTAAGTATTATTTAAATCCTCTATAGGATTAAGAAATAGGTAAGCTTTAAATTGTATTACAAGTACAAGATCTAGGGCCTAGAAGATATAATTAGACTATCTCTATTTTAATAATTTAAAGCTAAAGAAAGAAAAGGATCTTAAAAGAGCTTCAAATCTAAATAATTACAAGCTATATACGGGCCTATATACTAGCTTAAGCACGGGGTCACGTGTAATTATTAGGTGACTATAAATACTATACTTAGATACTAGGTATCTAGCTCAGATACCAGGTACCTAGCTAGTTCTAGTCTAACCCCTACTAGTACTATATTATAATAACCGTAATAAATATTATAATATTATAATTCCTATTTCTAAATAATAATAACTTTATTAATCTTATATAAATAGTATTTTATAATTATATAATAGTATTATATATTACTAGTAAACTAATAATTATAAATATAAAATCTAGAACTAGCCTAAAAAATAAAATTAAACTATTTTTATTCTAATAATTTAAAGCTAAAAAAAAAACTAGAATATAAAAAACTATAAGAAAATATATATATATATATTATAATATACTAGTTTATAAAAGACTTAGCTTTCTAAATATCTCTAGTATATTTCAAGTATATTTCTCTAATAAAGTAATTATATTATATATATTTAAAAAGTAATAAAATATAAATAATAAAATATAAATAACGGAATATAAGTAATTATTAAATAATTATATTAGCTAATAAAGTTAAAAATTAATTCATAATATAGAAAATTATTAAGAACTTAATTATTATTAAAGTATTTTTATTTTTAATAATTTTAAAAGCTTTAATATAATTAAATATTTTTATTTAATTAATAAATTAGTATTTTGAATTTATTTTTTCTTTATTTATTTATAATAGAATCAAGCTATATTTTTTTTAAATAATAGTAATTTGTATTATATTTTATTAATAAAGCCTTAAAAATCTCGTAAATAAAGCTTTATTTTTTTTTAAGTTCTAAAATAAAGTTTATAAAAATCTTAATATTAATAAATTAATAAAGCTATTATTTAATTATATAATAATATATTAGCTTATTTATCTAGTCTAGTTTCTTAATTTTATAATTTTATAAAAGTATTAAATAATAGTTTTTAATATTCCCGAATATTATAAGCTATAAAAATTCTAATTTTAATTCTTTTTAAATTATAAATCAAATATTTTTATTTTATTATTTTAATTTAATATCTAATATAATAATTCTTTATTTCTTTTAATATAAGTTTATTAATTATAAAAAAGGACCTAAAAGAAGCTATTATATTCGTTTTAATTATTTAATTATTAAATGAATTATTTTTATTTCAGATATTTTTATTATTAATTACTTTATAAAAAGTATTAAATTAGTTTATCTAGAAATTATAATTCTTTAAAATAATAGTTTTAATTTCTAATATAACTATAATTAAGCTTATAAAAATAATAAGAATTATAAAAATAGTTTTTATTAATTAATTAATAATAAAAATGCGAATTAAAATATAATTTTTAAAGAAATTAATTTAATAAACTTTTAAATACTTTTTATAATATATTAATTAGAAAGCTTATTAATATAAAACCGGGCTTATATTAAATTATAAAAGAATTAATTAAACTAGCTAAAAAAGAGCTCGAATAAAATATAAAGCTTTAAAATATAAATATATAAATTCTAACTAAGAAAAGTAATTAAATTAGTTCTAAATTAATAATTCTTATTATAATAATATTTTAAAATAGCTTTATATTATATATAAAAAAGCCTAAGCTTTTTAACTAAAATTTATTAAACTTTAATATAAATAATATATTAAAGAATTAATTATATTAATTAAATTATAATTAATATAATTTAGATTTCTTTTAATTAAATTAGATTAATTAATCTTAATTAATCTAATTAATATTTATTTAATTATATAAAAAGAAAGTTTCTTAACTTTTTTATTTTTCTTATTATTTTTACTTTTATTTATTAAATAACCTTATAGCCTATTAATAATACTATAATAAAGAAACTAAATAAAGCTAAGAATTCATTAATTACTTTTTTTTCTATAATAATAAACTAATTATTTTCTTTAAAAACTTAATTTTATTTTAATTTAATTTAATTTTTTATTTCTTTTAATTTGTTTTTAAATAAAATATCTTCTTAAAAACACTTTTATTAAGTTTATTATATAAAGAAACTTTTAATTTTAAAGAATTATTAATATTTCTTTTAATTAGAAATTATTTATTAAATCTAAAATACTTATTATTAATAATAATTAATTTTTAATTATTTTATTTATAATTAATATAATTTATAAGGAAGCGAGAAATATTAAAAAATCAAGGAGGTTCTAAATACTTTACTTAGCTTAATAGGCGGCTGCCCAAGTAGCCGTAGCTCTAACCTTAATGCGGTAAAGCGCACTCCCGATATAGCTAGACTAAACCTCATTTTGGCCTCGCCTCGGCTTCTGGCACTCCGACGTCATGTGCGCTGTCACGTGTCTAATCACGTGCTCTATTAATCTAATTAATTAATTAATAATCAATTAATCTCATTAGATTATGATTAGAATATAATTAACGACGAAATCGTTTGATTAGATTAGATTAATGCCCATTAATCTAATCTAATCTAATCATTTGACACACTGGATACGGAAGGATTTTCCGGGTTATTAGCTCAATGAAGATTAGTTCTTTTGTCCGCATATATCTTTTCACGACTTAACGAGGGCATAATCCAATGCATAGGGTGGAAAGGTACTGGGGAACACCGGATGCTACAGTGTGATACCAAGGATGCCAACAAACACGCAACTTATTATATAATACAGTAACTGTTGCCGATAAAGATGTTGGACCTCATGTCCCCCTCCGATGTCAATCTCTCCATTTTCGTTTATAGTGTTCGCCCATGCATCCGATCCCCCAATCCACCCCTTGGACGCCACTTCCCTCGACCGCTCCCGCGTCGGCACTGGTTGACAGAAGGACGATATTGGTCCCGGCAGATGCCAAGGGACAAGTAGGCACGCAGAGCTCGGGCTAATGTCCACCTGCGGGAGGAAGCCTACTCGCCTCTGGCCTGCACTATGGTATGGCGCATGCGTATTGCAGGATGAGTTCTGTCTGGGAACTGGCGGAAGATCCACTTCCAAGGTTTGCCCTCCTTCCCGTACGCCAGCAAGCGCTGCTCGTGTATAGGATCCAATGGGACATTCTTCCTTGTGCTTGATGCATTTGCGGGAAGACGGAGTCCGCTGCGGCTTTCTGCAGCTTAATGTCTAATGCGGATGATACGTGGCATGCGAATTCCTTACTATAGCACTTTGGTGTCAGTCTGCATTATGTATTTAATAATCTAGAGAAAAGGGCCTGAGTCATTATATCTCATCTGCCATAAGCTGCTAGGATGATAATAATAGGTGTAAAAACATATGGATGTGGTGATCATTCTCCACAGCAGAGTTTGATAAGACACATCGCGATTCCCATGCGGCTGTTTCGTCCGGCCTTGGAATTGGGATGATATGGGCCGACAGGGGATATCAAATAACAGGAGCACCACAGGCCAAACTATCGGTTGCCCGGGGCAGCCGCCAGTTGTTAGGCGAACCATTCTGTGCCCAATGTTTGAGTGACTTGTCTCCAAAATTTTCTCTAAAATCGACTAGTCCAAAATTAGCTAGATAATACCGCTGCCGAATCCTGGAAGATTACTTAACCTCGACAACATTACAACCTTCGACCTCGCTGAGTCTCTCAATTTACCTCGTATCAGCAATATGGCGACGCCGGATCCGTGTATTTCGGAAGCCTTATCTGGCGAAGATGCTACCGCTACCGAAGCAGAGTTGTCCGCAGCTGGCCACCGGTCGCGTTATGCGCAAACTGAGCTCCAAAACCCTTGGGTGGTTATCGAACAGACTCAACAGCGCAGGGACCGAATCATAGAGAGCTTCTTGGAGGTTTGTCATTCAACGTCGCAGCAAAGATCTCTTGTTAATTATTAAGCACACTGGAAACAAAAAACCGGTCGCAGATTTACTCCGCATACCTGTCGAACAGGTCGATAAAACGCACATAGCCAGAACGTCCATCCTACTCTGCGTGAATACTACCCAGAAACCTTTCCTTATACCACCGACTGCAGGCACACCCTTCAAAGCGTTCACTTTCATTGCACTCGGCGATTCCAGCTATGCTTCCGGATTGCCCGGCTTTGGAAATCCCCCTAAAAAATTCGAGATGAAGAGTGGACAAGCGCTCCACGCATCAATCGATGCCGTCCAGGTGTTTAAGGGCCAGGTGCCACCACAAGGAGGAAGTTTTCTTTATCTGATAATGTGGGAATAGGTGGAATAGGTGGAATATGGAGATATGGGTAGTCTACCAGTGGCACGTATGGGTTTGCTGTGTTTTCTATGCTGGGGTCCCACTGTTGCTGAGATGAATATGTACGATTATCTACCTATATCAGCTACGGATAAAGACGCGGTAACAGGTGGCACTTACTCAGTTCGAGACCAAACTCTGCTTGCTGTTGACCAGCTGCCGGTTGGTAATCCAAACCTCCTTGATGAAGTCCTTGTGGAACATCGCTCAACAGCCCCGCAGGGTAAGGCTCAGGTAACTCGAGAGAGAAATCTGATTGTGTACCCTCAGCCAAAATGTTTGGCATGCCGCTCTGGGTCACATACGGGCCTTGCGGTGCAGCTTGGTCCCAAGGAGTACCTTCAGGCTGTACCCAAGTATTGTTTGTTGACTCCACGCTTCCTGACTCCTGTTGGGAGTTGGCCAATTCGTCGCTTGATTGCGCGAATATTATTGACCCATCGTAACTGATTTGAGCAGTGTCAGTCGGCTGATCTCCCTTGTCCTGCGAAGGTTCTCCCTGTTGGCTATATTCAAGCCCCGCTTCCGTTCGATGAGAGTGACTTCCTCGGTTGGCTTGACCCGAATGTTCGTCCACGCTGATACTCATAAATGCGAACTCAGGGAACTCTTTTGCAGATGGTGGATCGGATTGAGCGAAGACTTCTAGGCCGAGTTTCTCGTATATCTCTCGGTAACTGATTTGTTAGTGGTGTCCCATTTCAAAGGGAGAGTACTGACCTGGTTTTCAGCGCCTCGCTGATGATAATGACGGGATGTAGCAAAGGACGTTTGAGTGAGCTGTCAACTCGAGTCTCTTTGCCAAGGACTTCAACAACAAGAAGCACAACACTCCGCCTTTTTTCTTCCGACCATTTTGAGCAGTTACTAATCACATAGTTCTTCTCTATAACGAGGTTAAATAAGTTTTTCCCATAAGATTACAGCATACTTACCAGCAAGAGCTTCATAAACTAAACCAGCTTTCCAGCCCCAATGCCTTGCAAGATCATTGACAATCATATTGATCATGTCGGTTGCAGACATCCATCTCCGGGTTGTCACAGTGGTTTCTGAGTCTTTCCGTCCAGTGCGAACCAGATGAAAGCAGGAGGCGAGGAATCGATATTTCCAGGCTGTCGTTTTAGCCACACCAATGGCATTGTGGGATTGTGACCATAGTTGCTTCTCAAAACAAACAGACGCATCTTCGTTGGGGGTGGGGGCAAGAGTTCTTTTGACAGTAAGAACTGATTCCGTTTTTCGTTGAGTCCTTATCCCATCACGTATCTTCTTCACAAGAATTCTTGCAGCCTTTTGCGACGGAGACTCGGCCACCTTGGCTGCATTTGCACGGGCAACATCTCCCTCCTCTGCTTCACTCCTAGCGCCGGCCTCGCCGCCGTCATTTCTACTGTCATCATCTCTACTGTCATCGTCTCTACTTTCGTCATCTCTACTGTCGCCATCTCTGCTATCGTCGTTGTCATCTCTGCTGTCGTCGTTGTCATCTTCGCTGTCGTCGTTGTTATTTCCACGGTTGATTCTATCTTGGTCAAAACTTGTTAAGGGATGATGTTTCTTGCGTTTGATTTTGCATTTATTTGAGGCACAAATCGCAGAACTATCGAATTGTTCTCGAGACCTTTTGTTGACATTGGACAGAGGTGCTTCTGCTGCAGATTCCCCTGAAAGGCATATATCGTGATCAGAGGGACTAGTCATAAACTCGATATAGTTGAGGAGCTTTGATTCTGCTCTTTTCGCACAATTCGAGACAGTTCGTTGAGCATCCGGCCCGCAGGTGTCAACGATATAGCTGAATCCATTAGTGAGGCACTTAATAGAACGCTTTCTGGCCCCTACCAGTCCTTGCTTGAACAGTCCCACCAACCGGGTGCGTAGTAGGCATCATAGATGGCTTGCACAACATCTTTGACGGGATTGCTGAGGCTTGACACATCCGTTGCTGGACAACATGAGGCATATCGGTAGCGACATTCGTAGTATGTCTGTGCTAGAATGCCTTTAACAGAAAAGGGTTTGAGCATCAGCTGCACAGCTGCCCAGTGAACCCCAATCTGTACAACAAAGTGTACATATGTTGAGCATGTTTTTGATAATGTTCGACGAGTGGGTTGCGGATGTCCTGAAGACGCTATTGCTGCTTTCTGTTCTTTTAGAGAGCAATAATGTGCGCTTAGAGTGCAATGTGCCCAGAAAAGCTTTTCGTCCATAATAGATCCTCAAGACCATTAAAATCTAGAGAACGAACTAGATGTTGAGACTTACACTTATACACCAACGTGACATTGCGCTAGTATCACTTGTTAATGTTCTGTAGTAGATCGCTTCAGCGCAATTAGTGATAAATGATCGCTAAAGGTCACTAAAATTCCAGCATATCTATAATGGTTCAAGCTCAAACTTTACCGAAAGTAGTTTAGTTTTTTCACAGTTCCCGAAATTCCCGTTCAATGGGATAAGCGAGTCTTCAAGTTCCCAACCTTGCATAGCGCTAACGTGGGCAAAATACCAACTTCCAAAGTTGGTACCCATTATTAACGCTCAAATCTTGCCATCTGTGCTCCTTTGTATTGCTTTATATTACCCTCTAGTGGCTATAGTGAGAGATCTGATAATAGTGCAGGGTCGAATTTGGAGCCTTATGACCGGTGAGGAGGGAGGAAATCTCACGATTTCTGCTTTCTGGTTGCGGGACACGGCAAGGGATAACTGCAATACAGGCACTGCTGCCAAAAATATTTATTTATTTAAAAAAGAAAAAACTGCAGCCGAGCGCTAGTAATCTGGGGCTTGCACAGCATACAGGGCTGGGGTAGCGGTGAAGAAAGTCTCTCTTAGAGCTTATGCTACTGCTTCTGCAGAAAGGCAGATCGCTACTAGGGTTCAAATTAGTCCGTTCATTCTCTCGGCAGCTATTAGAGAGTACCCAAATTCATACTCTTGCATGCATGGGTTGCAGACAGTGAGACGAAATGCATACGAGAATGGACACAGGGCGAAAATGAATAGAAGCACAAGGTGTGTCAGTAGTCATCTATAGCTTAGATGTAACGACTCGTCTTATATGTAAAGGCTTCTGAGTCTCGAGTACAGATTCAAATCATTGACCTTTCTCACAGAAGCGGTTCTCTATCTAGAACACCCCTTGTTGACGAAGGTCTGTAATTTTTATCTTTTAAGAGAATTTCGACAGCCCAGCTTCACATAAATAGACGGTCAAGACTGAGCAGTACCTTCGAAAGCGTACCCAATAAGCTAGCTCCGATCAAGTGCATCGCCTGGAGAACCTCTTTCATCGGACTCATTACTTTCGCATCTTCCTCGAGTAAGAATGGTTTCCCAAGCTGGGGCTATCAAGTCCCATCCGGTCTGTAAGTTACCCGCCTGTGAATTTTGCTAGGTAAACTTACAGATCATGTGCTTTTCAGATTTCCACATGATCAACAAGATCGCCCCAGGTGTCTTCCGTAAGTGAACTCAGATCTTTTTCACCGCCAGGTCTAATAGTTACTCTGTTAGAATCAAGACCAGACTCTGGTTCCGGTGATTCCAGTGACGACAGCGACACCTACTCGTCCAAGGCAAACGACAACACCGACACTGACTGGACATGGCCTAATAACAAAGATAACAATGCTTGGATGATTGAGAATTTCAATGAGGATACGTACAACGGATACAAACCCTTCCATCAGAGCTCCGCGGCCTTTTTTGTTCAAGATGTTGGCTGGCCAACCTACGACGCCCAGGGGAATTTTCTAGCATGGAAGCAGCTGCCAAGCCTTTCAGACATTGCCAACGCTGTTTGGAATCTTCTCGACAAAACCACTCAGCAGAACATAAAGAATTGGGTGGCAACCTGGACATCCGATTCCGGCAAGAGCATTGCAGACGCCATCTACGAGGTAGTGAAGATGGCGCTCAAGAATCTCGGAGTGCCTCCATTTGTGATAAGGGTCATCCTTGGAGTCATTGTGCCGAGACTTATTACATGGATTGCGGCAAATATCGACAGCTTGACGGTCAAAAGCAGCTAAGGTAGTTACTCTCCCTTGTAATTATAACTTTCTGTTAACATGGATAGATATTGCCGTGCTAGCAAAGAGAAGTCCGAATCTTTGATCCGAACGGCTCTGATACTTGCGGTGCTGCAGAATGGCTCAATCACTACTTAGAAGGAATCAGATGAGAGGTCATCTAAACCTCGGAAGATCAATCTAAAAGAGGAGCTGCTCAACCATGCCCTCGTATTTCGTTACCTAGGTAGCAATGCAACATTCGTTTATCTTCCCTTATCTAGAATGAGAAGCTGTGCAATATACTCGGGTTCCCGGTTAAATTCCCACATCTGTAAGCAATGACGAGGTAATAAAAACAGTTATAATTAAATAACTACTAATTATTTCTTTGTGCGAATTGAAATACAATGTACGGTGGGATGATAAATGCATTCAGGAGAGCGATAGGCCCGTCTGAGGAAGGAGGAACAGGCAATTGCATAGTCGCGGCGCTTATTTTTGTGGTTACAAGGGAATCGGGAAACTGTATGAGACAATGATCCCAAGACGCCAATGATTGCGCCTGTCTGCTTCCGATGTTAACTTCTCCACTTTCGTTTGTGGTATTTCACCCATACATCTAATCCCCCAAATTCCCTCCGCCATGAATGCCGCTTCCCTCGACCGGAGCTGCTCCCGTACCGAGATTGGCCCACTGAGGGATAAGGTGCCTTTCAAATATTCGTCCCCGGCAAAGGCCTAGGGACAAGCAGGCATACAGATCTTGAGCTGCCGCCTGTCCACCTGCGCGAGGAAGCCTATTGGTCTCTGCGCTATACCATGGTCCAGCGCGTGCGTACTGCGGCCGGCAGGCTTGGCAAAAATACCGGTATTGGTAGTGTTGATACTTGCCCCATATTTTAATTATTATTTAATTATTCTTATTTACTATTATTTTATATGACTTAAAAATTAAAAATTTGTAAGTATTGGGAATGCTAAGAATTTGGTTTAAATAAATATATAAAATAGCTAAATCTTTAATAGAAATATTAATATTTATTAAAATTGTGATTTTATGAGTTTTGCAATCCCGATAAGCTTATCGCTAAATTTTTAGCGTGCAGCCCCTAAGTTTTAGGCAGTTTATTGCTAAATTTATAGGCTAGAGGCCCCTAAATTTTCGCGAAAATTTAGCGATAAGGTATTGATACCAAAATTTCTGGTATTTTTGCCAAGCCTGGCAGCCGGAGTCTTGCCTAGGAACTTCATGAAAACCCAGTCCCAAGACTTGCCCTCTTTCTTATATACTAGCAAGCGCTGCTTGTCTGGGTCTAACTATCAGTTATACCTGCTTGTGCTCGAATAGCCGTACTTGCCCTTGCTCGAATAGCTATTATTATTGCTACTAGACTCGGAATCGCTATTACTCAAACCACTATTATTATTACTACTCGACTGCTCACTTCTTTATAATACAAGAGCCCCGGCATTAATAGCTTTGCCTTCCTTAAGCCGGATATATATAGTATTAATATAGTTATAGCTTGGCCCCGCAATAATTAATAAAGTTATATTACTAAATATAAGCTATAATAATATATACTAACTAAAGCTAGTTAAGAGAGATAATATTACTTTACTAGTTTAATAATAAAGTTAATAATCTTTCTTATATAACCAATACTTATAATAAATCAAATAACTTAATTAAATAAAACTTCTTACTTAGTATATATTATAAATATAGTATTCTAGACTTGGAAAGTAAAGTAAAAGGTCTTTTATAAAGATAATTCAAAGCTAAAGAAGAGAAAACTAGAATATAAGAGGCTATAATGAAATATATATACTTTATAATATACTAGTTTATAAGAGACTTAGTTCTCTAAATATCTCTAATATATTTCAAGTATATTTTTTTTAATAAAGTAGCTATATTATATATATTTAAGAGATAATAAGATATAAATAACGGGATATAAATAACTATATTAGATAACTATATTAGCTAATAAGATTAAAAGCTAAATTATAATATTATTTCCTTTTTCGGAATAAGCTTATTCCCGAGCTTTATAAAAGCTATTAATTTATTTAATTTTATACTATTTTTCTTTCTAAAGCAAACTAATATTTCAAATATAAATATTATATATAAAAGGCAAGAATTTTTAATATATAACTTAGAAGAATTTATTATTATTTCTATATAGTTCTAAATAAGTATTATTTTTTATATAGTCTAGCTAGTATTATAGGTTTTATAAACATTCTAATATATTAATATTATTATTATAAAAGCTTTATAAAATTAGATAGCTATTATTTAATACCGAAACTAGATATTATATTAGATTCTTATTCTAACTAATTTACTAGATTCTATATTTTAGCTTATTTATTATTAGCTTAATTATAATAATTAATTTAATACTATACTTTTATTTATTATTCTCTAGTATTAATAGAAATAGTTCCGGGTTTATTTAATTTAGTAAAAAATTCTAAGAATTCTTTTATAGCTTTTTTATATAAAAGACTAGATATATTTTTATAATTTCTAATAGCTTTAGAAAAAACAAGTAATTATACTTTTCTAAAATCTCAAATAGATTCTTTATTTAATTCTTTAGTTTCCGGCTTAGATAATTAGATTTCTAGTACTTTATAATAATTTATATTTTGTTTTTGACTTTGAAATTAATTAAATAATATTATTTATTAGCTTATATTATATATTATTTATATATTTGCTTTATATAACCTTAGGCAAGTTACTATAATTCATATAATTAATTTACTAATACTTTAACTTTATTTCTATTTAGCTTTTATTTAGGTAAGTTAGTTTTAATAAGAAAGTTCTAGTTTAGAAAAATATAAGACTTATAGTATTATGGGTATGGTATTTAGGGCTTGGAAAGCAAGATAGAAGGTCTCTTATAAAGACAATTCAAAGCTAAGGAAGAGAAAACTAGAATATAGGAGGCTGCGAGAGAGTATATATATCCCATAGTATACTAGTCCCAAAGAGGCTAGCCTTCTAAATATCTCTAGTATATTCTAAGTATATTTCCCTAGTAAGGCGGCCGCATTATATATATCTAGGAGATATCTGATATCTGGTGAGGTATCTCAGATACCGGATATCTGGAAATTATAATATTACCCCCCCCTTTATAATAAGCTCGTTTCCGAGCTTTATATAAGCTATTAATCCATTTAATTTCGTACTATACTTCTTCCCAAAGTAAAACTAATATCTCGGATATAGATATTATATATAAAAGGCCGGCGCCTTTACTATATAACCTAGGAAAGTTTATTATTATTTCTATATAATTCTAGATAAGTATTATTTTTTATATAATCTAGCTAGTATTATAGGTTTTATAGAGGTTCTAGTATATTAATATTATTATTATGGAAACTCTATAAAACCAGGAAGCTATTACTTAGTACTAAAGCTAGATATTATACTAGATCTTTATCCTAACTAACTTACTAAATTCTATACTTTAGTCTATTTCTTACTAGCTTAACTATAATAACTCATTTAATGCCATACTCTTATTTGCTATTCTCTAGTATTAATAGAGGCGGTTCCGGGTTTGCTTAACCTAGTAGAGGATTCTAGAAATCTTTTTATAGCTTCTTTATATAAAAAACTAGGTATATCTTTATAATTTCTGGTAGTTTTAGGAGAAATAAGTAGCTATACTATTCTAGAATCTCAAATAGGCCCTCTATTTAGTTCCCTAGCTTCTGGCTCGAATAATCGGATTTCTAGTATTTTATAGTAACCTATACTTTATTTCCTACTTTGAAATTAATCGGATAGTAGTATTTATTAGCTTATATTATATATTATTCCTATACTTGCTTTATATAGCCTTAGATAAGTTATTATAATTCATATAATTAATTTACTAATACTTTAGCTTTATTCTTATTTAGCTTCTTTTTAGATAAGTTAGCTTTAATAAGGGAGTTCTAGTTTAGAGAAATACGAGACTTATAGCCCTTTTTAATTATAAATAGGAACTAGCTAATAGTTTCATACTTAAAAGAGGCTTATTAATAATTAATTATAGTAACCTATTTATCCTAGTTATTCTAGTAGTAGTTAATATATAGGTATAATCTCTAATTAAAATACTAATTAATAATCTACGTTTATTTATCTATTTGGGGGTAATTCGCTATAGAGAGCTTAAGCTTTATACTAATTCTCATATAGAATTCGCTCTAAAAATCGGATATAAATTAGAGTCCCTAATCTAATATAATTATTTCTAGAATACTTACTTAGTATATTATATAAAGTAAAAATAGAAATACTAGCTATTTGGCTATAATTATATCTTATACAGGAATTATAATTAGGTACTTAAACAAGTAATTCATGAATATAGTAACTATATTATAGCCCGATTTGCTTTCTAAATAGTTCTTGAAGTCTATAGTAATATATTACTAGAAGTAATTAGAAACTAGAAGGAAATAAAGCAAACCAGGCTTCTTATTTCTAGATATATATAATCTCCTATAAGTATAATAATTACTATAGTATTAATTAATATCCTTGCCTATAAATAGCTAGTAATATTACTCTTTTAATAGCTATTAGAGCTTTATATATCTAGAATATCCAGAAAGGAATTTATTATATACTTTATAAATTAGGGCAATCCGTAAAGGTAGTCCGGGGGTTATTTTATTCTCCGTAATATAGAGTTTTCTATAGTATTAAAGGAGGCCGTCTTATAGTATTCAGATATTACTTTTAGCTTTTCTAGATCCGGTAATATATAATTATTCTATAAAATCTTATTTACAAGTTATAAACTATTATACTTGGCGGGAGCCTCTAATAGTACTTTTATAAGAGCTACTATAGCAGAGTCTACTAGTAAAGCTTCTAAGAAAATACCTTCTTCTAGGGGAATTATGCCTCTAATAGGAATATTCTTTTCCGGAAAATCTTTAGTATATGTTTGGTTTTTAGGGCCGAATTCCGGATTAAGTAAGCCAAT